AAAAAAATTATCAAGTTATTAAACCAATATAAAAATACACAAAAGAAAAGTAAACAGAATAAAACAATACAATCTTACATTAAATGGAAAACTCGAATCGATGAATAATAAAAAATATAAAATATGATCGACATATGCAAAGTGATCACCGTAGTCTACCAGCCTAACGACGATTTATTCAATCTACGCTATCACCTATGGCAAGAATTCACATATAAATACTGAGGTACTCAATAAGATCAGATATGTAGACCACACCGTAACACTATCGGATAATGTCGAAGGATTACGAAGTAACTGAGAATAATAATAAGTAATGTATATTCGTACATTACACCCCAAAATATGGAACAAAGCTATAGTGATAACCATCTACCAGGGAAGAATTCGGCGAAGAATACGAAGAGTTTTCAAAACAACTGTCTCCTTTTTGTGTCACCTTTTCAAGAGGTTCGAAAAAATGATACAGAACCGGGTAGTTGAATTTGTGAGGAATAAAATTATTCCAGAAAAAGCAGAGTTCAAATCCAGGAGGTCCTGCTGTAGCTAAACCCTTAACCTCATTGATGATAGTTTTGAACGGAAAGAAATAACAGGTGTAGCGTTCATAGACCTAACTGCCGCCTATGACACAGTTAACCATCAATGGCTGCTAGCAAAACTCCAGCAAAACTAAAAAGAAATGCTATCTACAGACCATACGATTTGACGTAACACTCCGGGCCAAGAACAGTCGGTGGAGGGACCAACAAAACGGTATCCCGTAAGGAAGTGTCCTTGGGCCGATTCTATACAACCCAACGACAAACGACCAACCCATAAACCAACAAACAAAATTGTACGTAAACAGAATTACAAAATTAAACAGCGTAAAATGTATTTACGCTGATGATACAGCGACGGAAGAACCTTTAATAAAGTCGAAGAAAACTTAGCACTATACTATGGTGACAGTAATCTGAAATACAATCACAGTTAGTAACAAGGCGAGAGAAACAAAAGAAGTTTCCACGTGATTCAAATTGTTTTGACTGCATGTATCTTAGAATTTAAAATAGTATTCACTTCGGGCGTGACCATAAACAAAACGTCAACATGACAGGATGAATTGCTAAATGTTGAAACACTGAAAAAGCTTCAATATTTAAGAAAAATTCAAACTTGACAACTATGCAACGAGACACTAAGTTGACTAAATTTGGCACAACGCGACGATTTAATTTGTTTCATAAAAAACACTCTAGTAAATTAAAATAATGCGTACTAAATGCGAGGGAGTAGATAATGGTACAGGCAAGTACGAAGCGAATTTCATTTTATTTTCAACAAAGCAACATACGAAACATTTAAACATATCTAACTGTAAAATAATTTGGATATTAAAATTATTTCACATAAAAACTAACAAAACATTAGAGATCAAAGACAAAGAGTGATAACACAGCATGCGTATTGTGCAACATATTAATTAAGTTTGACTTTTCATCCATGTGCATAAAAGATTATTAAGTTTCGTGTTTGAAACTAATTTCCCATGAAATATTAAAGAGAAAAATTGTCTAATAGAAATGTCTCACCATATACTAAATACATTTGAAACACAGCCTTCACTTCATATAATCTTCACAGTCTCACCGTCATATATCACGATACAGAAGCAGAAAATACACACAAAACCGTAATTTTTTAATAAAAAATAAAATTTTTATGATGAAAAAATAAAAACAGATATTTGTAAGAATCTTGAAAACAGAGCGAGACGGTAATTATACAGAGAAGCTACAATTCTGGTTAAAAAATATATTTCCTATTCGAATCTCACAATGTAGAGTATTATTGAGTTCACTTGAACCAACTATTTTTACTCTTGTAAATAATATACACTTATTATTACAATTGGTATATTAGAACTATTTTATTTGTTGGAAACAATATCTTTTATATGTCCCGTTTACAATGACAGTTCAGACATGTTATAATTATTTTAGATTTCAGTATTTTTGAGGTTCGTTCTGGGACGGCTTTTTGAAAAACAGTTATTTTATAATTTAAAAACTATATACTTTATAAAAGTTGTCTTGAAGCGGTGAGTGGCAATGTCCAAGTGGCAATCAGGCTCTACAATTTGTTGTCAAAGATAAATTTGAATTTTTAAGGTTAGTTTGATTTGAATTAATAATTTCCAATACAATTCAACTAAATAAAAAATCGTCTTTAAACGTGTATTCAACTTTTGACAGAATGGTACGAAGATTGAAGATATTATTAGTGAAGAGGTAGGTCGCCAACCAGATCTTAGAAAACAACAAAGCTAAGACTCTTCATTTGCCTATACTTGGTAGCAAAAGATCACATAAAATGTTTTCGTTTGTTTGTTTTATGATTGTGTAAGTTATTCCAGGTATGGGGATGGTGTAATGCAATAGAGGACTAAATGGAGAGGAAATACCTGCGGAATGGACACAAGCATACATCACATCCATACATAAAAAAGGAAACAGGAAAAAATGTGAAAACTACAGAGGAATTAGTGTAATATCGTCGCTAGGTAGACTTTACGGGAAAATTATCAAGGAAAAACTAGAAACTGAAATAATAGGAAAAATTGGAGAAGACGAAGCAGGGTTCACAGTAGGAAAATCATGCCTAGATCATACGTACACATTAGAACAACTGATAGAGAAGAAAATGGCAAAAGGTAGACCGGTCCATCTGGCGTTTGTTGATCTAAAGAAAGCATACGACTCAATACCTAGAGTCAAATTATGGAAAGCAATGAATGATCTCGGAATCCGACAAACACTAATAAAAGCAGTTAAAGCTATTAAATGTGGAAATAAAGCCTACAATCTATTTAAGACGACAAAAGGACTTCTACAAGGCTGTGCTACGTCCCCTACTCTGTTTAAAATATTCTTGGAAAAGACACTCAAACCATGGAGGAGAAAGTGCGAAGTAATGGGCATACCAGTAAGAGACGAATACCTATACACCTTAAGTTTTGCCGACGATCAAGTAGTCATCGCACAAAATGAAGAAGATCTCAGCTTTATGCTCAGAAAACTAGAAGCAGAATATAAAAATAACGGAATGGAAATAAACTTAGAGAAAACCGAATACCTAACAACAGAAAACAAGGATATGAGAAACCTAGAGATAGACGAGGGAGGACAAGTAAATGGAACAGATAAATTCAAGTAGTTAGGAACCATAATATCGAACCAGGGAACAACAGAAGAAGATATAAACAACAGACTAAGACAAACAAGAAACTGTATAAGACAACTAAATTCAGTGCTGTGGGATAAGAACATTACGATAAAGACAAAAAAGAGAATATATCATACCAACAGGCCATATGAACCTCCAAAACAAACCAAAATTGAAGAGACAGAACTTATGGAAGTTGATGAAGCCAAGAGACTGTCAAAAGAGAGTTGTATCTTCTTCTTCTTCTGAAGATGAAGACGAGCTCGAGCTTAAACATCTCCGATGGATGCAGATTTTATTTAAGTTCCGAAGATGAAGACGTTCCTGATTTCTTTCCACCAGACAAAGTTGCACTCAATTTTACCATTGGCAGATGGGTTGTAGTAAAATTGAAGTCACCGGAAAAGCTACACTCACTAATGTTTACTATGCTGGTGTGGTTCAAGAAAGCATAAACCAAGAAGTTACTGTGAAGTTTCTAGAAAAACGGAATATTTGTTTTGTCTTCCCAGATGTTGAAGATTTTACTGTCGTGAAGCATTCAAGCATAGTGAAAGTGTTGCTTGTGCCCAAAATACGACCTGGTTTTCATTCTTTCAACATTGCCTTTTCACAAAATATTTCTTTTAAATAATAAAAAAAACACAAAAAAATAGTTTTACTGTTTTTTTTAATCATTAAAAAAGGTATTTCAATATTTGTTTTATTTATATAAATACAGTTACTTCATGTCTGTTCGATAATATCAGTTTAGTGCCTAGATCTATCTTCTTTTACCTGGATCAAATACATTTTAGTTTCGGATGAAAGAAAAAAAAATAAAAATTAAAAGAAAATTTTGTCCCAAGATACACACTTTCCCCTACAATATGTAAAGTAATTTTCTTGTGTCGATTGGATATGACAAATTATATGGTAATATTAAAGACCAATCGCATGCTATCATTATTTTCTGATACGGATTCTTAAGTTATCAAATGAACATCTTCCCAAAAAGCCGTCCACAAATGGACCTCAAAAATATTGAAAATATCGTGTTAATGTCTTTAACATAAAAATTTTGGGCAGATAAATTCAATTAGAAGAATTTTGTTTACAACCACAACAAACCACAAGAGTTTGTCTTTGATCTTCAACCAAATGACACGGAATTAAAGCATTGAAACTTTTCTTCACACCTTACACACATTCCCACCATACGATATCATAATTTTCTTAAAAAATCTACCAGATATTACACTCCACACACTACGTACATCATTTACGTAAATAAAATAAGTTAACACTAAAATATATTATTTTCAAATATCGCTATACTAAATGGTTTAAAAAATAAATATTTATATAGTCGTCTAAATATATAGAAGATTTATGTCTTTTGTTAAAGGAACTTAATGAAAAATTAATTTAAGGCACAGTAGGCTACTAGCATATAACTGCCAAGTAGTGAAAGTCTCAAGTATCTACCGTTTAGAGCAGCTAAAATAGTGTTTCCGTTGCCAAAACGTATTAAAAATCGATTTCTTGTGAAACACTACTTGATTATCTTAACCTAAGGGAATGATATCTCAAAAGTTCATTTAGATTTTTCGAAAATTAACCGAAATGCTGCCCCGAAAATAATTATCAAGCCGAACTATGGGATTTTGCCTTAAAAAGAGGGCAAAAAACAAAAATAAAAATAAAAAATACTTTGAAAATAAAAACAAATGCGATAACCCCAATTTTTCTAAACTTAACAAAGTAAATCAGCTGGTAAATAATAAATACAAAAAGTGCGGATACTTTGTTCAATCTTTGAAATAAAAGTAAGCAATGAGGCCCCCGCCTAAAAGCAGAGAGCCTCCTATAACTAAAGGTAAGTATAAAGACCTCTTCAATTGTGTCCACTGTTCGTTGACTTGTTGGCGACGTTTCATATCTCTCACTTGGGCTTCCAGCTTTTCTTTCCTTTCTTGTCGATTTCGTTGTCTCAATTCCGATTGTGAACTGAAAAGAAGGGGAATTATTAATATTAACGAAAAAACATTATCACACAGAAATAACTGACATCACGATCTGCGCCGTTAAATGACAAAGATGGTCGCTTTGTCGTTGCCGTATCAATTAATATTTGTCATAATTATACTTCAGACACATTAAAATCCGATTGTTCGAACGCTAATCAAAACTTGATTGTAATCAAATATTTAATTAGATACGTCACATTTTGAGGTTATGTTGACTAATTATTTTAAAATAAACCATAATTAAACACTGTCTGATGTTAATTTCAATGTTTTTATTTACAAATTAATATTAATAAACAAATTTCATAATTTTGACAGCTGCTGTGACTTATTTGATTGTAATTAAATATTTGATTGCAATCAAGTTTTGATTAGCGTTCGAACAATCGGCCCTTTACATTTTTATCCGATACAGACAAGTTATAATTTTAAATGAAGACCCTTTTTTTAAGTTAGCACCTAGGTAACGGCATCTACTTCACCGGTAAATAGAAAATATTCAATACCGTCTTTAAGTCTTTACTTCTTGACTAAAAGGGCATTACAAAATAAGTACAGTGAAACCTGCTTAATTCGAACTTCTCTAATTCGGAAATAACTGTCCTACATATGAACTGTCTTATATTCAACAGGAACACCTGCTGAATATAAGACAGATAATCGAGAAATCTAGGGAATTCAACATCCCACTATATCTGTTTTATAGATTACCGTAAAGCATTCGACAGGGTCAAGTGGAGACACTTATGGCGAATACTAAAAGAAGTAGGCGTACCACAACATCTAATTACGCTTATAACTGAACTATATGAACACACTACTGGATCAGTTAAAGTACTTGACACACTTTCGAACGAGTTTCATCCAGAACGGGGTGTCAGACAAGGATGTATACTATCTCCAAAATTATTCAACATATATGGGGAGTATATTATGCGAAGAGCACTTGAAGGATGGGAAAAGGGCATCTCAATAAATGGTCATAAACAAAACAACCTACGTTTCGCAGATGACACAGCCCTTCTTGCAAATAGTCAAGCAGAGCTGATGGAACTTATACGACTGATCGAAAACGAAAGTCAAATATTTGGTCTGCAATTAAACATATCAAAGACAAAGATCATGATAGTGGATAGACTACACAACAATCATCCACACATAACCACAATTGACCGGTTCGAGGTAGTGAGCTCATACTTATATCTGGGATCATTAATCACAAACACAGGGTCATTACAAGAAGAGATTAAACGTAGATGTGATCTAGCAAAAGTTGCCACAGCAAAAATGACCAAAATATGGAAGGACTGTCAAATTCAAGAGCGATAAAGATGAGGTTGATCAACTGCTTAATATTCCCAATACTGACCTACGGATGTGAATCTTGGACTCTAAGACAATCGGAGAGAAGAAAGATGGACGCCACTGAAATGTTCTGTTGGAGACGAATGTTACGAATTCCTTGGACCGACCGTAGAACAAATAATTCAATTTTAAGAGAGCTAAAAGTTAGCCAACGACTCTCTAGTAAAGTCCATCTCCAACAATTAAAATATTTTAGGCATGTTATGAGAGCAAACACAGAAAACATGGAAAGACTCATAATACAAGGAAAGATAGAAGGCCGAAGATCACGAGGAAGATCCCCAACAAGATGGATAGATCAAATTACAGGAATATGCCAAAGACCTATGCATGAATTAAAAGAAATGACCAGAGACAGAGATCTCTGGAGACGGACAATACACGACATCACGTCGACCACTACACTCCCCCTGGGGGTCAGGATTGAAGAGAGGGAGAGAATTCGGAAATCTTCTTTAATTCGAATTTTTATTCTGGTACCTAGCATTTCCTATATAAGTAATGGTAAACAATAGTGGATAATTCGAACTTTTCTACAAGTTAAAATCCTAATTTCATGCTGGAAATTTCCTCAAAAAGAGGTAATATTCATTCCTGTCTTAATGCGCCACTTGTTTCAAGGTATTCAAGGCCATTGTACATTGTACCTGTACAAACTTCTTCGAACATACAAAACTTTGACGTTATCGGAAAAATTGCGGCAATTAAAGAAGTAGAAAAGGGAACAAAGAACAAATCTGAGATTGCCAGAGACTTTGGAATGCCTCCTTTAGACCGTTGTGTTTTAAAATGGTTCAAACAAGCCAGAAATAAGAAGATTGCCGTGAGTGTTCCCCTTGTAAGAAGCAAAACTGAAAAATTTGCTATTGAAATGAAGAAACAAAATTTTAAGGCGAGTACAGCGACTAGACAAATAAATAATTTTCTTTTTAAATGTGAATTGTTGCATTTTACTTAATATTTCCGAAACAGTCAAAGATAGGTATTCGCTCCGTGCGTGACTGACACGACACCTACCGCCTTTTTCTGACAATTTTGGAGTCCCAATTTTCAAGTTAAACATATGACATATGTTTGACATTGTTAAATACGTTTTAACACGTTAAATAGTTTTTTAACTATATTCTTTCAGTTTATGTACAAAATAAATGTAGTATTAAAAACTGGGTTTCTCAAAATTCATCATAATATATCTTTTCAACTCCAAACGTAAGAGAAAGGGAAAAATCTAGTACTGACAAATCAAGTTTTTCACGCAAAAGAGCATATAATTAAAAACAATAATAGTAAAAGTTATGATATAAAAGCTAAAGTCATCTGCAGTTAGCTTGAAGCCTTATGAAATATCATTCAAGGTAAATTATTTAAATTTTTCCTATTTCAATTGCGTAAAAATGAAATTATGTGATATTTACTTTTTCATATTAATAGCAGGAATTTATCTTTTTCTTTTTTTTAATTTATATGTAATCTTTGGGAACCTATAAAAACTACACTCACTGTTTTTGCTATTATTAGCACAATTATATACGCAACAAGTATTTGCACACATTTTTGATAAAATTTATGCGTAAAAATATTTTGTCCAATATTCCAATTTTGTCATATTTCGCCGCTATGCACGCTGGCGTCGTTTCAATGTACCCCTCCCATGGTCACGCACGGAGCGAATAGGACATTGTATTTAAAAAATGTCTAAAATGATCTGAGAAATCTAAAAATTAATTAACATACAGGGTGTTCTATTTAAAATAAGCAAGTTGGTATTGGCCACCAGGGGAGGTTTTTATATATATTTTAAAGGAATTGATATGATTAATTCCTTCAATAACAAACAATATATGAAAATATTAAATCTATTTGCAAATATCAAAAACAAATACTAACTTGTCTTTAGAGTTCGTTAGGTCAGATTGGTCTGATACAGGACTTTCTGATCTCACATCTTCATCGTCATCTTCTTCTTCGAGCTCATCTTCTTCGCTAAGTTCTTCATCAGCCGGTACTACTGGTAATGGACCACTGGGAATATAAGCCTGCAATATCGATACAAAAATAAAAATTTTAAAAGTGCATAAATTAATATTACATTCAAATATAAGTATTAACAAGTAAGAGTATTTTGTAAAACTTAAAGCCAAACAATCTAATAACGGCACAATTAGAAAAGTGTTTATTACTTGATATTGCATGCAACATGTTAGCAAAAGTAATTGTGAAAAAAATTGGGAACTAAAATTGAATTTGGGATCTGGAGCGTGCAGTGTGAATCATTGAAAATTAATTTATTATTATTAATTAATCTTCTCATATACAGAGTGGCCCAAAAGTCTGGAAACGGCTAATTATCTCGTAAAATCATAATTGTACAAAATTTGAGGTACACCTATATTGGGATACGGAGATTGCATATTTGATATTTCCAATGTTGCCAGATTTGCCGTTTTTCTTATATTATTAGTAACTTTGGTTTTTCAAATACATCACCCTGTATATTCAGTCATTATTGGAATCTCCTATTCAATACGAGTTCAACCATATGTAATACTTGATGATTTTATGTAATCTGGAAGGTCATAAATACATAAAACCGAAGTCTGGCAACGCCTAAATTGTTTCAATAATTTTTTTAATAATAACTATTTTCAAATACATTAAAACGTAACAATTGATAGTTAGAACATTTTTTAACATAGTAATTACGTTATTAAGTGTTCAAAATGTGCTCAATTTGTGAGTTGACAGATTTCGAACACTTTCTACCATCGATTAGAGTGCTGTCAACTCACAAATGGAGCACATTTTGAACACTTAATAACGTAACTATTATGTCAAAAAATATTCTAAACTATCAATTGTTACGTTTTAATGTATTTGAAGATAGTTAGTATTAAAAAATGTATTGAAACAATTTAGGCGTTGCCAGACTTCTGTTTTATGTATTTAAGACCTTCCAGACTACACAAAATTATAAGTGTTACATATGGTTGAACTCGTATATAATAGGTGATTCCAATAATGACTGAATATACAGGGTGATGCATTTGAAAAACCAAAGTTACTAGTAATATAAGAGAAACTGAAAATCTGGCAACATTGCAAATACCAAATATGGAATCTCCGTATCCCAAAATAGGCGTTTCTCAAATTTTGTATAATTATGTCTAGTAATTTACGAGATAATTAGCCGTTTCCAGACTTTTGGGCCACTCTGTATAGCTAAAATAGTTAGTTATATTGGTTACACAGATCAACAATGAATTTGATGGTTTTATAATAAACATCCTTTGTTAGGTAATTTTGACCTCCTGAATCCGAAACTGACATTAGTTTTTTTTCTATCACCTATAGGTGGCAACACTGTAAGCGGCTGCACCTCTCCCAGTCGTGAATAAACGCATCAAAATCAGTTGTTTGTTTTTATCAGTTCGAGGATTTATCGCTTTGTTTCGAATTAGTGCTATTTATTTGTTATTCTATTCTTTTTAATAATCTAATAAGTGTTAATAATCTTGCTTGAGAAATAACAAGTTTTAAATATTTTTGATGCTCTGATACTTGGAAACTTCTTTTTCATAGTACTTTTTTTTGGAATCGATGGTATAATTTTAACTTATACCATCTTATAACAATATAATAAAAATTCGCACCAGAAGATGAGCAAATGCGGGTGCTGATCACTACTGAATCGAGAGTAGGGTAATGGCGAGAATTGTAAACGTTTAAAAAAGGAAATAGGTTCTGAACATAAACGATACCATGTAGAAGGACTTAAAAATACAAATAAAAATAGAGAATATAAACAATCGAGAGATAGACAAATAGAGAATATAAACATCATGAAAGAATTACTAGGCATGAAAGGTGAACAAAGAAGAACAAGAACGAATGACTGTTTTGACGAATAATGTCAGATTATAGAGAGAAACCAGAGCATATTTAATGATGCAACAGGGGACAGAACCCGACAAGCAGAGTAGGAAATAACTAGCCAAGGAAGAAAAGAAAATCCACCGCAGAAAGAAGAGGGAAACTATGAACAAAGAAAAGCTAATAGAGACGAAAAAATTTTATCAGAAACTGAACAAAAGCAAAAAGGAATTCAAACAAAAGAAGTAAAGAGATAAGGAGTCATCTTCATCACAATGTCTTTCTGTAAACAGTTTTAAAAGGCAAAAGAAATAAAAGAAAGAGCAAAGCACAGAAAAAAATTGACTGTCAAAAATATATAATTTTAATAGCAAATAAAATTACCTCGTCGTCGCCATTTTGTTTGCTTTCGTAATTCCATCCGTTCTCTTCTGATATACTTTTCGGGATAAGGGGAAGAGGTCTATCGAGAGGTGTTCCATTAGGTTTGTTAAGGCTGTCCAATCGAGGAGGAGGTAATGGTGGTGGTTCGTCTTCTGACTCTGAATTTTCTTCAGATACATCAGGGGATATGTTGTTTGTTATTACTATATGGTTTTCCTAAAATAAAATAAAACATTAATTTACCTGCAAAGATATCAATATTCATTACCTGATATGGAATTGGAATTGAATTAGGAGTGTATTGTGGAATGGGAGTAGGACAAAACTACTTCTTTTTGCTTGTCTATAAACAGACAAATAAAATTTAAAATTTTGAGTCTAATTACAGGGTTTAATAATAATTTATATATTATTTTAAATATATTTCTATTTTAATCATCATCGTTCTCTTTGTGGGATTTTGGCTTAATTTTAACGTTTTTTGCCACTCGATTCTACATCTAGACATTCCCGCCACATGAATTTGTTGTTCCTCTTGCTTTTTAACTGTCCAACATTTAGTTCCTTACATCAATGGCAGTGTTATAGCATTTTTATAGTTTCGTGGAAAGATAGTCAATGAAGGTTACATTCACGCAATACTACGGGTAGATTTTGAAAGAAGGTAAAACAAGACATATGGAAAAAGTGGAAATAATAGAACATCCTGACTGCACAATTTAAGAAAATGGTTCAACAAAACTACTACAAGATTCTTTAGGACAACAGTCAATAAATCTAGAATCTTCTTCTTAGAGTGCCGTCTCCCTACGGAGGTTGGCAATCATAATGGCTATTCTTATTTTAGAACTTGCTGCTCTAAACAAATCAATCGATCTGCATTGGTACCAATCACGTAGATTCTTTAACCATGAGTTCTGCCTTCGGCCAACAGATCTTCTTCCTTGAATCTTTCCCTGTATTATCAGTCTCAAAATTTCATATTTTGGTCCCCTCATCACGTGGCCTAGGTATTCCAGTTTTCTGGTTTGTATATTGGTGATTAGTTCTGTTTCTTTACCAACCCTCTCCAGTACTTTTTTATTTGTAATTCTATCAGTCCATGATATTTTCAATACTCTGCGGTATAACCAGAGTTCGAAGGCCTCGATTCTTTTTAAATTACATTTTTTTAATGTCCAAGTCTCAGCTCCATATGATAATATTGAAAATATATAACAGCGAATGGTACGTAGTCTGATCTCCAAATTTAGATTTTTGCACTGGTGGAGTGGCTTCATTCGTATAAATGCTGATCTGACAATCTCTATTCGTCTGTTTATTTCTACAGTATGATCATTGGTTTCATTGATCAAAGTTCACAAATACTGATATTTTTCTACTTGTTCTATCACGTTACCATTTATTGTCAATAGGTGATGTATATTTTGTGGCCTTTTTGTAATCAGCATGTACTTCGTTTTTTTAGCGTTTATAGTAATTCCCATCTCAGCACTATTTATACTCAAGCTTTCGATAAGATGTTGTAGATCCTCTATTCTTCTTCTTCATGTACCATGTCCTTTCAGAACGTTGGTTACCATCATAGCTATTTTAATTTTATTCACTGCCACCCTAAATAGCATGCTTGTATCTACACCATACCAGTCTCGCAAGTTCTTCAACCATGAGGTTCTTCTTCGTCCTGGACTGCGTTTGCCTGCTATTTTTCCTTGCATGATGTTTTGTAGCAATCTATATTTGGGACCTCTCATTACATGTCCGAAATATTCCAGCTTTCTCTGGAATTCCAGCTTTCTCTACGTTCTCTAACGTAGATCCTCTATACTCGTTGCTATGATCACAGTGTCGTCTGCATATCTTAAATTATTAATTAATTTTCCGTTAACGGTGACTTCCGCTTCGATATTATTGAGCGTGTTTTGGAAAATTTCTTCAGAATATAAGTTAAACAAAAGTGGTGATAACACACATCCCTGTCTAACTCCTCTACAGATCCTCATTTCTTCTGAGTGTTGCCCATCAATTTGAACTATGGCACTTTGGTTCCAATATAATGTTTGCACTATATTTATGATTTTACTGTCAATGCGCTTGTTCATAAGTATTGATATTAGTTTTTCATGTCTTACTTTATCGAAAGCTTTTTCGTAGTCAACGAAGCACAAGTGTAGATCAACATTTACATCCCGACATCGCTGAATTAATATGTTGATGGCAAATAGTCCTTCTCGAGTACCCATTCCATTTCGGAACCCGAACTGCGTCTCGCTAATATCCTCCTCTAGCCTTTCGTATATTCTCTTATGTATTATTTTTAGCAGAACTTTTAAAGTATGGCTCATGAGGCTCAGTGTTCGATAATCAGAGCACTCTTTTGCTGCTTGTTTTTTAGGGATGGTTATAAATGCTGACTTTAGCCACTCCTGTGGTATTATTCCCGTATCGTACACCGTGTTGAATAAATCTGCCAATACTTCCAAGTTGTCCTCTTCCACTAGTTTTAAGAGTTCTACTGGTATTTCATCTAATCCAGCTGCCTTATTGTCTTTAGAGTTTTTGATAGCATATTTGATTTCATCTATCGTGATCTTCTGTATCTCTAAAGGATTTAATTCTTGTATTTTCTGCATTTCACCTCTTTCATCTTGGAAAAGTTCTCTAACGTAACTCCTCCCATCTACTTAACTTCTCTGGTAAATCTACTAGTAGTACTCCTTTTTTGTCTTTTATGTGTCCTTGCTGTCTATTTCGACCCCATTCCAGTCACTTCTCTAATTTTTTTGTGCATATTTCTCATATCATATTTTGTTTCTAGTTCTTCTATCTCTTTACATTACTTCATCAAATAGATTTCCTTAGCTGTTTTGATTTTTTCCTTAATTATTCGTTGTATTTTTTTATACTTCTGTAGATCTTTTCCTTTATATTTCCTTCTTTCTTCCATCAGTAATAGTATTTCTTCTGTCATCCAGTGTTTTTTAGGCTCTGATTTATGTTCTATTAAACTTTCTTGAGCTGGTTTCAGTAATGTGTTTTTTATATTACACCACTTTTTATTTACATCCATAATTTGTTTGTTGTCAGTTAGTGTTTTTTGCATATTAACATTCACATTATTTTTTATTTCGTTTTTTATTTCTTCGTTTTGTAGCATTCTTACGTTAATTTTTGGTTGTTGTTTTCTGAGTTCAATTCTTTTTAATTTTATTTTCACGTCAGCCACTGTCGGATTGTGGTCTGAGTTAACATCTGCTCCAGGATAAGTTTTAACTGAGGTTATAGAGTTTTTATATCTGCTATTTAGAATCTAGAATAGTGGCCATTTAAAGAAGAATCTAAATTAACTAATTTTCACGCATATACAGGGTGTTTCCAAAGTAAACCAAAATACTGTTAAGGGCGCTTCATCATTCATTTTATTAATAAAACCTATAAACGTGTGTAATAACTTTGTCGTTCTTAATAAAAAGAGTATTGACTTTTGAACCGAAACTTCTATACTGGCGTTGTATCACTTTTTTCCTACAGTAAAATGCTGAGGCGAGCGTCACGGAACTAGCGCCACAAGGTGGCGTCGTCACGGGTAGCGTCACAATATAACAATTCTTTAAATGCTGATGACCTCCATATGTATAATCTACGTTTAGGAAGTTTGAACAAGGTATTTGCAATAAATTATGAGTTCATCATTAATATAGAAATCAACTAGCCGATCTCCACGTTAATTCCTCTTCCCGAGTCCATATCGCCCCACATAATTCGCCACTACTCCTTGGTCCACTGTAAGGTTTAAATCTCCTAATATAATATTTGTATCATGTCTTTCTGATTCAACCCCATTAACTTACGCTATTTTTGTACAAAACTCGACTAAACTTCGTAAAAGAAATTCAATATCTCAATGCAGACTGAACTAAACACACGTTTATAGGAACTCCCTTTCTAAAAACACTTTGATTCTTCTTCTTAAGATGCCGTGCATTTCTGCGTAGGCGTCCACCGTACATCGTCTTGTCAGGTGAGATGTTAAATATTCTGGATTAAATAATTCTGTTTTTAGCAGCATTGCGAAGCATTTCATAGCTGTGGATTCCTGTCCATTGTCGAATATTGCGCAGCCATGACATTTTTTTACGTCCGAGACCTCTCCTACCCTCTATCTTCCCTTCGAGTATCAGTTGCTGAAAAGTGTATCGTTCTCCTCGTATAATGTGCCCCAAGTATGCAGTCTTCTTACTTTTTACATAATTAAAAAGTTCCCTATCCTGTAAGCCCGCTCTTCTGAGTACTTCCTCATTTCTGACCCTGTCCGTCCATGATATTCTGAGCATTCGACGCAGGCACCACATTTCAAACACTTCAAGTTTGTTAATGGAACTGGCCTTTAACGTCCATGCTTCCATTCCGTACAGGAGAACAGGCCACACGTAACACTTAAGCATCTTGTATAGGAGGTTGAAGTCCAATTTGCGATCAGTCAGAAACTTACGAAGCCTCAAAAAAGCATTTCTGGCTTGTTCAACTCTGCTCTTTATTTCATTCTCGGGGTCCCAACCCTCATTCAGCAAACATCCCAAGTATTTGAATTGCCTGACTTGTTCGATTTCTTCTCCAGAGACATATATCTTTGCGTTGGGGTAATCATTTCTACTTATAATCATTGATTTTGTCTTCTTGATATTTATTTTCAAACCCCGAGCTTCACTTGCAAGAGTTAGATCATTTAAAAGGCATTGAAGATCTTCGATGTTATCTGCCACTATGGCTGTATCATCGGCATACCTGATGTTATTAATAAATATGCCGTTAACTTTAATACCCTTATTAGAGTCTTCCCACTGCTTCTGCGAAGGCTTTTTCTACGTATAAATTGAACAGCATTGGGGACAGTATACAACCTTGCCTTACTCCTTTTTTAATGGAGAAATCTTCTGTTTCGTTGGAATTTTGAAGACGTACTGTTGCTGTCTGATTCCAATACAGATTGGCGATGATTCTTATATCCTTTGCATCCAATCCCAACTCTTGTAGGTATTTTATCATCAATTCGTGTTTTACATTATCGAATGCTTTCTCGTAATCGATGAAACAGATAAAAACATCCTTTCTTTGATCTAAACAATTCTGTATCAATGTTTGCATACTAAAGATCGCTTCTCTCGTGCCAAGTCCATTTTTGAAACCAAACTGACTCCATCCACTGACCTCTTCACATTTCTTAAACAATCTAGTGTGAAGTATTCTCAGGAAAAGTTTTAAAAAGTGACTCATTAGGCTTATTAGTCGGTGGTCCTTGCAGAAGTTCGCACGTGGTGTTTTTGGTAGGGCGATAAATGTAGATCGAAGCCAATCTTTTGGAATCTGGCCCGTATCGTAGATGTCGTTAAAGAGCTTGACAATAATGTCTAGGTTTTCTTCATTAAGTAACTTGATTGTTTCTGCAATCTGGTCCTGGGGTTTTGTTACTTTTTAATAGTTTGATAGCGTGTACAATTTCAGCTTTCAAAATACTTGGGCCATACAAATGGTCTCCCAGTTGTGGTGGTTTTTGTGTTCTGTCATCATTGAACAAATTGGCTGTGTACATTTTCCAAGTATTAAGTATATTAAGTATACTTAATATACACTTTGATTACTTGGGAAAAAGTTTGTGTATTTATAGAAGTTATAGAAATCTTCTAGCCGTTCCGAAAATACTTACAAATAACGTATTTTTTCTTTTAAATTGGCATACTTCATTTATTCTACTATTTAAAGTTTTAGTTTAAATTAATTGAAAGATACCTATCATATCTGAATTTTAAGAACCACATAACGCAACATACTAATATTAATTAGTTTAGTAGAAATGATTCTAAATATTTTGTAATAAATGCCGCTTAAAATGCCATTAGCATGATACAGTAGTTCCGAGAAAATGTAAGAGGAATATTTATAAAATTAATTAACCGAAACGATTACGAAATTATTCAAAATGGAGTAAATTAGACTCGCATAGTTGTTTAAGATACTTACCCCACCACCATCCGAATTTTGATTGAGGATCTGCTTGGTTCCTTCTATGATGGCTTGATATGAAAATCGCAACTGCTCAGCAGTCTGGATTAAACCCATTCGATATTTCCTCATTTCTAACAGAATTTCTTTAAGGTCGACGGAATTTAAACCATATTTTTCAATCTTTAAAAATGTAAAAGTTATTAATGCTGATATTGATACTTTATACGATTCAGTGCATGTGAAAGGTTAAGGTATTTCATATTTAGTATCTACACTAAAGATTATAATACAGGTAAAGAAAAAATTAACTAAGGAAATAGTAGATAGTATACAGAGTGGTTCACTAAGAATATCCAATCTCGTAAGTTGTAAATTCTGGACCTCAAAATATGATTATTCTGCATAACATGCCTTTAAAAATTAATTGAAAAAGACTGTAAGACTTGTACACACTTCTAAATAGGTCTAACTGGTAAGCAAGTTTTGTATGTTTTCAATAAAATTGATAGTGTGTAAAATAATTTATTAATTAAGCTGAGTATACTTTCGACATAATAAATGTCATCATCAGAGCTATCGTCAATTAGGCAATAAATACTTCATAGAAGGAAAATTGTGGACAAACAACATATTAAAAAACAAAGATCGGGCTCTCTAGACCACAGATCTTGGTCTAACCCTTATACATATGTATAATTCACATCAAATACTTAAAATAGAAAACATTTAAAAAAACAGCTGTTGTCTTCGCTGTATGTGGTAACCATGTACCATGACTTTAAATATTCAGTATCTCAGAAAATAGCAATATTTGTACAAGGCATATTGGGCCGAATAACCATATTTTCAGATGTAGAATCTACAACTCAGAGACTGGACATTCTTAATAAATCACACTGTATATACAGGGTGGCCGAACAAAAACGGAACAGAGGCATTTTCAGGAACTTCGACATTTTTTTAAAAACCCACCTACGTTTTTTTAATAAATAAAGTAAAGGACTGATCAGAATTTAAAAATTTAAAGACAAATGTATAGCGAATAGCAAGGGATTTAAAACGATATCTTATTTGACCCCTTTGCCATTAAAATGGCGGGTGATTCTTACGCCCCAGAGGTCACACTAAAATAATCCAAAAAATCGGAAATAAAAAACGAAGGAACAATTTATTAGTTTCCCAACAAGGAAGTTAGAAGTGAGAGTAAAAGAAAAATAGTTTTGTGGAATTTAATTTATATTTTGAACCATTTATATGCTGAATTAATGATGCAAAAAGTATTTAAATTTTGAAAGACTTAAGCAGAGAGTTGTTAATTCATTCACAGAATAAAAAAATCAATCAATTTCATCCTACGATGAACTGGGACATTTGGAAAACCTATCAAAATTCGGAAGAGGTATTAAAAGGATTCCCAAAAGGATTATTTTGGGAAATCCGTATCTAGAATTATTAGTGAAATATCAGAAATTATGCTTGGCCCAAAAGCATTGATAGAAAAGATTGACAGAAATCTTCAGTTTCTATTTCAGTAGATGTCCGTTAAAAAGCTGCCGGTTTCGAAAATAAATAGAACTCTAACTAGAATACTGCAAAAATATAACAGATGAGAAGAACGAGGCATTTAGGACCATGCAACAACGAAAAATTATAACAATAGATAGATACAAAAACTTAAAGAGAGAGGAAAAACGAATACACCGAAAAAAGAACCGAGACTCGAAAAATTACATATTAGAACGGCTCGAAAGCCATATGAGTCACGGAGAAACAAGAAAGTTCTATCATCAAATAAATATTATTAGAAAATAATTCAAACCAATAATCAACTATTGTAATGATAAGGAAGGTAACTTACTTACCAACAAAGAGGATATCGTTTTACGATGGGTAGAGCACTTTCGAGAGAAGCTGGAAATGGAACCTACTAACAATATAGAGTTGGAATACCGAAATGAGGAAATCGTGGAACCCCCCTCGGTAGATGAAGTAAAAATATCTATAGAAAAACTAAGGAACCACAAATCCCCAGGCAGAGATGGCATCCCAGCAGAGTTAAGCACAGTGGAGAGCAGCTCACGAAGGTGATGCGAGAAATTGTTTGTAAAATTTGGTCTGATGAGCAAATGCCTGAAGAATGGAGCTTAGGCTTAATTTGCCCGTTACACAAAAAAGGAAACCAACTGGAATGCAATAATTACCGCTGAATAACTCTCCTAAATACAGCATACAAGATAATGTCAAATATTTTGCACGAGAGATTAAAGCCTTATATCGAAATATTTCTAGGAGAATATTAGGGAGGATTCAGGCGTGAACGTTCAACCATTAACCAGATCTTTACACTACGACAGATTCTCGAAAAAGCGCAAGAGTTTAACATACATATGTATCATATTTTTGTCGATTTTAAAGCGGCATATGACAGTGTCTTAAGACCAAGTCTTTACAACGCTATGAATGAGTTATGAATTTCAAAAAACTCGTGTTTGATAAAAGTGACAATGGCGAAGATGCTATCAGCCCCATTTGAAATACATAGTAGGATAAGGCAGGGAGATGCACTGGCGTGTCAGGTTTTTAATGTAACCTTAGAAAAAGTTGTACGAGACGCTAATTTAGATAGCAGGGGAACAATATTTAATAGATCAGTCCAAACTCTAGCATATGCAGACGACGGGACATTATAACAAGAACCAGGGCGAGAACTGTGGAAATCCTAACCTAGCTAGTAGCAGCAGTAGAACGAATGGGGTTACATATAAATCAAAATAAAACCAAATTCATGGCGACTAACACAAACACAAGCTGTACATATTGTTGGGCGTAAATTTACAATGGAAATGTTGACGCAAATGTAATCATCAACAACCAAAACTTCGAAGCCTTCAAAGAGATCATATATCTAGGCACATCGGTTAACCCCAATAATAACACATCTGAGGAAATAAAAAGGCGAATAATAATTGCAAACAGGTGTTATCATGGTCTATCAAAGAATTTAGCTAACAAACGTCTGTCTCAAAAAACTCGTATAAGGCTGTATAAAACACTGATAGTCCCCGTTCTCACATATGGATCAGAGGCATGGACGCTAATTAAACAGATGAATCCGCTCTATCGATTTTTGAAACAAAAGTGCTACGCAAGATATTCGGAGCGGTCTGTGAGAACGGAATATGGAGGCGTAGATATAACTTTGAACTGCAGAATATCTACAAGCATACGTTTGGTGGTAAAGATATTACCACTATAAATAAGCGAAACCACCTGCAGTGGGCAGGACATGCAGCCCGGGCCCCTGAATCGAACATGATAAAAAATATTCTACCAGCGCAACCCGTGGGAATGAGAAGACGTGGTAGACCAAACATTAGGTTGATGGACCGGCTAACACAAGATGCGGAGAAGATCGGAGTCGGCAACTGGAAAATGCAAGCAAGGGACAGAACAGAATGACGTAGAAAGCTTGAGAAGGTCGAGGCACTCTAACAGCTGTAGCACCAAGATGATGATGCTAGCTCTAACTTAACCCATCTTTTACCATTGGTGCGTTAACGCACCAGTTCAGTTTTAATTTTTTCTTTACCACAGTAGTCAAATATTTTGAAATTTTTATAAATTCAGTTGATTTTTGAAGTTACAGACAACTCATAAAAAATATGCCCTGTTGCCTACGAAATAAAATAAGTCTCCAATCAATATTCAAAAATTAGTAAAATTGGTGTTATCCGTACGTCCATCTTTGACATTTGTTTTAAACTATTGATTTTTTGTATATGTAAAAAATATGCTGAAATTAGTAACAGGAAAGACTGAAGTTATAATACTATACGAGGAAATGTTTGTATCTTTTCAATTTTTTTTATAATGTTACCTAAACACAACTGGTGCGTTAGCGCACCACTGGCTAAATATGTAGTTCGTCCCCACTATCAGTGTTATTGGATTTGGCCTTGAAGGATCTTACTGAAATGTTGTCTCTGTCCGTGATTAGTCTTGTTTGTTACAAACGCCGGCGCCGTTGAGTTGAGATTCTTATGTTTTATAGTTGGTTATAAAAAATTGTTCTATTCTTATTATAATCATGCCCAAATTTCTTACACAACAACAGCTTGAAGCAGCTTTAGAGGAGGTAGTTGCTGAGTTGGAAAATGATCGTACGTATTTTTATTTTACATTATCTTGTATGCATGCTGCAGCATCTGTAATTTTTAGGTGAAATAGATATTGTTTATATTCCACCAGACGTGAATGAATTAACTGATGAGGAAGATATTCCAGATCCAGAGGGAATTGGAAATGAATTTACGGGCCACAATAAAGATATTGCCGGCACATTTGAAATCCACACTAGAGAGGAAGATTTACATGATGTAGGAGAAGATTTGCGTTTCGTAGCGGAATCGAGTGACAATTCGTTACCAACAAACAGTAAATCAAGAAGTAAGAAAGAAAAAAATGTGAAAGAGAGTCCCAAGTGGAAACAAGGTCAATTTTTACATAAGCAGTTGCCTGAATCAAACGAAAAAGCATCTACTGAATCTCTGAAGGCTTTGGAAGGACTGACACCATTAGAAATTTTCTTTTTATTTTTTGACTTAGATATTCAAGATATGATTGTTCAATATTCTTTACAATATGCTTATGCCAATAACAGACATGATTTTAGTCTAACTAAAAAAGACCTTCTCAACTTCATTGGAATTTTAATTTTATCGGGATACCACACCTTACCTCAAACTCACATGTATTGGTCACTTGACGAAGATAAAGGGGTACAGGTGGTAAAAGACTGCATGAGCCGTAACAAATTTACCTCCATAAAACGCAATTTGCATTTAAGTGACAGTGGACAGCTTGATACAAGTGATAAGTTTTGTAAATTGCGCCCATTTTTTGACAAAACGAATGAAAAGTTCATGCAATTTGGAGTGTTCTCACACAACATATCTATAGACGAAGAAATGGTTCCCTACTTTGGACGACACTCGTGTAAAATGTTTATAAAAGGCAAACCAGTAAGGTTTGGTTTTAAACTTTGGTGTATTTGTTCTAGCGAGGGATATATGTACAAATTTGTGCCCTATCAAGGTGCATCTGCTGAGCCAGTGGACAAAAAACAAACATTGGGTACCAGAGTTGTTCTGGATTTATTATCAATTATAAAAAATAAGAAGAATCACAACATATTTTTCGACAATTTCTTCTCATCCTATGGTTTATTTCGAACACTGAAAGAACAAGGGTTTTTTGCAACAGGCACGATAAGAGCAGATAGAACAGAAGGGTGTCCTCTACAATGTGCAAACGTTATGAAAAAAAGCCCTAGGGGTTGTTATGACTCTTATTTTGAGGAGAATACGCACATTTCTTTAGTAAGATGGCACGATAACTCAATAGTTACATTGATTAGCACTCATTACCATATTGAACCATTGGCAACTGCAAGGAGATACAGCCGACCACAAAAAAAAATTGTTAGTGTGCCACAGCCTGCAGTGATTTACCAATATAATAAAAACATGGGTGGTGTAGATTTACACGACAATGGTGTCTCCAACTACCGGATAGCGGTTATGGGTAAGAAGTGGTGGTGGCCCTTATTTAAAAATGTCTTAGATAATATGATCGTGAATTCGTGGAAAATATATAGTATAGCAAATCATGATAAAATGTCGCAAATCGACTTTAGATCTTACCTAGCTTTGCGACTTTTGAAATTCGAAAATACCAGAGAATCTCATGCGGCTCCAGTGAATGTACCAAATGAATTTCGCACAGATCATCTGGATCACGTTATTTTTAAGCAAGAAAAGCGTAGACGTTGCAGAGTATGTCATAATCATACAGTATATACGTGCCAAAAGTGCAAAGTTCATTTGCACGCCAACTGTTTTTCACAATACCATTGTTAACGGATTTAGCCAGTGGTGCGTATACGCACCAGTGTTTTTTTTGTAAGTTAAGGACATGAAAAATTTTTTTGTTAATTTTTTTTCTTAATTAGGCTTTACTTTAACGAATAAAACTAATTTTGTGAAATTATATTCGTTTTTCTTACCGTTGGTAAAAGATGGGTTAATAGCAGGTTTAATCTTAAATACGGAACAGAATTAAACATTGCACATGCAGTGCTTTTACGAGGTTATCTCTCGTGAAAGAGGGTAGGTACTTATTTTAATTGCATTCTCCTGAAATAAGTACTAAGTTTTGAAAGGGATCCTACATTTATGACTGCGAATTTTATTCATCACGGAGTAGGGTAAAGTATGAAGATATTTAATGGTATTTCAGAGATTTCATCAAAGCTGTAGAACTTTCAACTGAAAAAAGGTGGATGTTCTGCATTTACGAATGAAAATTTTTTAAAAACAACATCTACAAGAATTGATAGATCCTTCAGTTCAGACGAGAAAGTGGATCCTTTTTTTCTAAAAATGTCGTATATAATGAAAACAAGGGATGCGGTTTTTGCATATTTTAAACTTGCAATATTTACCAAACTTCGAGAAAATACTAGAGGTTTTACACACCAAAGAAACAAGAAATAATTTTGCAACTCTGTCACCTCATGACTCGGTTGCTCAAATTAAATTGCCAAGAAAATACCAAAATTCTATTATTTTTCCTGACGATTTAGTAATCTTTTATATGCAACTAATATTCTAATATTATAAAAATTATTTCTAATATAAAATCAAACTTACCAAAATTAAACAAGAATCAACCAAACAGAAAGTCCCTGATCTTCCGATTCCAGCGGAACAATGGACTACAGCAGGTCCAACATCTGCTTCCAATACTCCTGCATCTCGTACTTTCTTAAGAAATTCTAAGAAGGCGGTTGGTGAACTTGGTACTCCAAAATCAGGCCATGTTGTATAATGATATTGCAGTATGTCACGGGATTTGCCGCTCTCTGTATCCGTCAGTCGAAGGACTCTAGTGAGATAATAAGAATGATCTTGTTGCTCTACGTATTCTACGGTTAGTCCAACGTCTTCAAGTTTCATTATATGATCTGGACCAATTTTGGACGGCCAATATTGATAACATTTATCTTGCTTTTTTTCTACCAACTTATTCAACATTACTACCTACAGGGGTGTTTCAAACATTAATAACGATGCAAAAAATAGTGTACTTTTTATTTAAAATTTCACGACTTTATATTATTCTATTCCAATTTATTATAGGAATGAAACGAAGGACATGGAAACTATAAAATGATGGGAAAACGAATTAGGAAGTAGAAAAAAGTATGTCTGCAAACATACTAAAAAAAAGGTTCAGATGTTTTTTTTTGTCGTGTTTTTACATTTAGAAGTTATATTACACAAACAGTTATTTTCACAACTAATTTAATATGGGAGTTTAAAATTTTATGGTAAGTGTATTTGATTTTACCATTAATTTACTTACAAAGTTAAGCTCGTTCAACACACTTAAGGAATGGTCTTGTTTAAGGAAAAAATGACAAAGAAAATATGTTTAATATGTATTATTCCAGGAAATATGTATTATGCCGGAACCAGGCCAGCGCATTTCGCTTATGTCTAATAGTTCTAGGTTCAGTCTATTCATTTCCTGAATCTTGTTGTGCGTCTTTCCTTATTCGAACAAACTCCTCACATTCCATGTCCCGAAATTTAAAAAGGATTTGTTCTCTATACAGTTAGTTGCCACATTCGGGTGGCTCCTCCTCGCGGAGATTCTTAGCATCCCTCGACCACGCGGCCGCGGACTAGGGGCCATGTGATTGACTGTACTTTTCATGGTTATTGTTCTAGGGAAATCTGACGATCTTTAATGTTGTGGTTTCCCGTTGCCTTCTACATCCTTATGCCGTTGACCACTAATAGGTTCATCCGCCTTCGGAGCTAATTTCTCAACCCCAGGACAAAAAAGTGCCCTACCACTTACTAACTCATCCGCCCGAAGTAGTTGGTCACCTCAGTGAGTGGGGGACTGCTTATACCGGCAATCACTCGGTGAGTTGTTTGTGATAGAAAATCCAAAACTCTCATTGGTCAAGAGGAAATCGTTGATGCAATAAACTGTACGTAACAATACAATAGCAAGAATTTTGAAACTAAATAATTACAAGCCATTTAGACCAAAAATCATTCATAGATTGAAAGAAATGGATTTTGATAGGCGCTTTGATTTTTGCTGTCTCATCAAAGATGGGTTAGAAGAGGACCTATGTTCCTATTGGCAAAATAAATGCAGTGCATTAATTACGTCTTTAAAATGCAAAATGGTTAGAAACCATTTATTAAGTAATTGATGGATTCGACCGTTACTTGATGGAAATTTATTTTATGTAACAATAAAACACTGAAAACTTTGTTTTCAAACTTCCATAAAATTTATTTTAAATCTTATCACTACAGCTGTTTCGGCTGATTGCCTTTCTCAAGTGATCTATTTTTGGCTTGGGTTTACAAATTTATAGTCTTTAATGAAATAGGTTGAGGAGGGGAGAACTGTTTGTCTCAAGTTGGTCATTCAGAATTATATCTGTGTTTTTTAATTTGTTGATTTCCATAGATTCTAACAAAGATAGCTTAAGGCCTTTATTTTGAATGTGAAGAATTTTAAATTTGCTATTAAAAGAAAGATTATGATCTAGAAGGTGAAGTGCGTGTGTCGAATCTGTTTTTCTATTATTGAAAGCCCTTTTATGTTCTGCTATTCGTTTATCAAAGTTTCTACCAGTTTGACCGATGTAAGTTTTTGGGCAGTCGCCACATTGAAGTTTGTACACACCACTATTTAAGTGTTTTTTTGTTTTGGCTCTTGTTATTTTTAATATATTTGCCTAGGTTGTTATTTGTTCGGAAAGCTGGTGTTATTCCTTTCTTTTTTATGTGTTTGGCAAATTTTGTTGTTATTTTGCCTGTATATGTAATCGAGCAGAAGGTACTGAGTTTTTTCTCTGGTGGTGGAAATACTAAGGGCTTTCTTGTGTAGTTTTTGATTTAACATTTTATTAATTGTTTGTTCGTTGTATCCGTTGTTTACTGCTATTTGCTTAATTATATTTATTTCTGTCTCAAAGTTGTATTTTGACATCTGAATTTCTGTTAATCTATGTAACATACTATGGTAAGCTACCAGTTTATGTTGTGTTGGATGGGATGATGAATTGTGTATAGTCGTGTCAGTATGGGTAGGTTTATGAAATATGGAGAAGTCATGTTTGTTTGGAACTCTGCTAATTTTTAAATCTAAAAAATTTATGGATTGATTTTGTTCTGTTTCTATTGTAAATTCAATATGACTATGAAGTGAATTAATATACGATAAAAATTGGTCGAGTTGTCTGTTAGTTCCTGTGAAACATACCAGTACGTCGTCTACGTATCTCCACCAGTATAAAAACTGTTTGAATACGGGATGTTTTGAAATCTTTGTCTCTAGATGATCCATAAACCCAGAAAACACTAAATTTTCACCTAAATTTACCATAAAAAATATAATAGAACTAGTTAATAAAATACAGCATTTTCAATTACCTAACAACTCCAGAATAATTTCATTTGACGTAAAAAATATTTTTCCTAGTATCCCTCCTACAGAAACTTTTATTCTAGTAAAAAACCTTTTAGACCAAAATAGTACAAATCCAATAATTACATCTGAAATTTTACATCTTCTTGAAGTTTGTATAAACCAGGACTACTTTAAATTTAATAATAAAATATATACAAATAACAGTGCAGGACTTATAATGGGTAATCCTCTAAGCTCATTGCTATCAGATATTTTTATGGATCATCTAGAGACAAAGATTTCAAAACATCCCGTATTCAAACAGTTTTTATACTGGTGGAGATACGTAGACGACGTACTGGTATGTTTCACAGGAACTAACAGACAACTCGACCAATTTTTATCGTATATTAATTCACTTCATAGTCATATTGAATTTACAATAGAAACAGAACAAAATCAATCCATAAATTTTTTAGATATAAAAATTAGCAGACTTCAAAACAAACGTGACTTGTCCATATTTCATAAACCTACCCATACTGACACGACTATACACAATTCATCATCCCATCCAACACAACATAAACTGGCAGCTTATCATAGTATGCTACATAGATTAACAGAAATTCCGATGTCAAAACACAACTTTGAGACAGAATTAAATATAATTAAGCAAGTAGCAGTAAACAACGGATACAACGAAGAAACAATTAATAAAATGTTAAATCAAAAACTACACAAGAAAGCCCTGCAATTAGTTTCTGCTCGATTACATATACACGCAAAATAACAACAAAAATTGCCAACCACTTAAAGAACGAATAACACCAGCTTTCCAAACAAATAACAACCTAGGCAAATATATTAAAAATAACAAGAGCCAAAATAAAAAACACTTAAATAGTGGTGTGTACAAACTTCAATGTGGCGACTGCCCAAAAACTTACATCGGTCAAACTGGTAGAAACTTTGATAAACGAATAGCAGAACATAAAAGGGCTTTTAAGAATAGAAAAACAGATTCGACATACGCACTTCACCTTCTAGATCATAATCATTATTTTAACGAAAAATTTAAAATTCTTCACATTCAAAATAAAGGCTTTAAGCTATCTTTATTAGAATCTATGGAAATCAACAAATTAAAAAACACAGATATAATTCTGAATGACCAACTTGAGACAAACAGTTCTCCCCTCCTCAACCTATTTCATTAGAGACTATAAATCTGTAAACCCAAGCCAAAAATAGATCACTTGAGAAAGGCAATCAGCCGAAACAGCTGTAGTGATAAGATATAAAATAAATTTTGTGGAAGTTTGAAACAAAGATTTCAGTGATTTATTGTTACATTTACAAAGTGTTAAAAATGTTCATTCAAAATAAAAAGATTAGTAAAAAATATCTTATTTTTTTTCAATGTAAACGTATATAATTGTATATTTGAACGTCGTTTTTAGTTTTGATCAACTTTTCTTAGTAACAATTTTCGATATTGTGAAATATAAAGATTCTTTTGTGCGAAGTTCATATTTTTTGACATATCTCGTATACTATTAATAAAATTTGATATCTGATGATTGTTTTTATATTTTAAAACATGCAGAACTCTTTATGAACAATAATTTTTTGTCTTAAATTTAATAATAAAAAAGTTTTAAACTATGGTTCCAACTTAGTGGCACATATTGTATAATGTAAACTTCTAAAAAGTTTAAAACTATAAATATAAACTTAGTCATATAAAATAAGCGAAAATAAAACAGCTGTTTTTTGGTTCGACAACAATCAATTTAGAATAGATACCTACATCTATTTTTTTTTTTTCATTTTATATAACTATTCAAATGTTTTCAAATAATTGAAGATTGTTTTGGAACGGAAATAACCATGTTCCGTGTATTACTAAGATAAATTTTGTTTGTGTTTTTAAATGAGTCATCTAAGAATTATACAATGCTACTACATGTAAAACTCCTCGTCGTCTGGGCGACGATTCGGTCAGGGAAATCTCCAGGAAATCCCGTGTAATTTTCCCTTAAGGATTTCCTATATCGCTATATTAATAATTGGGAGAATTTTGGTGTCTATCTTAATTATTACAACTAATATTTGATCATTTAAAATAAATTCAAGATGTTCACTCAAATGTAATAATTTATGCTACTTTAAGAACCAGTTTTTAGTTTTGTTAACATCGCTATATTGCATTATTTATAGTTCAGAAAAATAAGCAAAATTTAATCGTGTTCGGGACTTTGCAAAAGACAGATATTTGACAAGTGTTTCGGTTAGTATATAATTATATAGTAAGAAAATTTAATACGTTGTGTGCAGAAATTTTGGCGTTGGTTTTGAATTATTAGTAACTTAGCGCGGAAATGTGATTTTTTCGAATTTTAGATTACCATTAAAAAGGAATCTATGTATTTCCACTCAAATATAAACATTTTATCTGTTAATAAGATAGAAAAATCATCAAAATGGCGTATTCTAAAAATTTTTGAATTAATTTGTAACTCAAAAAACAGCAAAGTAAGGCAAAATCGTTAATCGTTTGTAACTTTAGTAAAAATTCTATCTACTAATATGTAAC